GAGTTCTAGTTTCAAAGCATTGTGGTCTGAAAATATGTGGGGAATGATCCCAATCTTATGGTACTGGTTGAGACCTGATTTGTGACCCAGGATGTAATCTGTTCTGGAGAATGTTCCATGGGCACTAGAGAAGAATGTGTATTTTGTTGCTTTGGGATGGAATGTTCTGAATATGTCTGTGAAGTCCATCTGGTCCAGTGTGTCATTTAAAGCCTTTATTTCCCTGTTCATCTTTTTTTTTTTAAAGATTTATTTATTTATTCACTCGAGACACAGAGATACAGGGAGAGAGAGAGCATAAGCAGGGGGAGAAGCAGGCTTTCCGCTGAGCAGGGAGCCCGATGCGGGGCTCGATCCCAGGACTCTGGGATCATGACCTGAGCTGAAGGCAGATGCTTAACTGACTGAGCCACCCAGGTACGCTTTATCTCTCCTTCTATTTTCAATGACAGCCTAACTGGATATAGTATTCTTGGCTGCATATTTTTCTCATTTAGTGCGCTGAATATATCATGCCAGTCCTTTCTGGCCTGCCAGGTCTCTGTGGATAGATAGGTCTGCTGCCAGTCTAATGTTTCTACCATTGTAGGTTACAGACCTCTTGTCCCGAGGTGTTTTCAGGATTTTCTCTTTGTTTGAGACTTGAAAGTTTTACTATTAGATGTCGGGGTGTTGACCTATTTTTATTGATTTTGAGGGGGGTTCTCCGTGCCTCCTGGATTTTGATGCTTGTTTCCTTCCCCAAATTAGGGAAGTTCTCTGCTATAATTTGCTCCAATACACCTTCTGCCCCTCTCTCTCTTTCTTCTTCTTCTGGGATCCCAATTATTCTAATGTTGTTTCACTTTATGGTATCACTTATCTCTTGAATTCTGGCCTTGTGATGCATTAGTTGTTTCTCTTTTCTCAGCTTCTTTATTCTCCATCTTTTGGTCTTCTATATCACTAATTCTCTTTTCTGCCTCATTTATCCTAGCAGTTAGAGCCTCCATTTTTTATTACACCTCATTAATAACCTTTTTGATTTTGACTTGGTTAGATTTCAGTTCTTTTATTTCTCCAGAAAGGGATGCTCTAGTATATTCTATGCTTTTTTTCCAGCCCAGCTAGTATCTTTATAATTGTCATTCTGAACTCTAGTTCCAACATCTTACTAATGTCTGTATTGATTAGGTCCCTGGCAGTTGGTACTGCCTCTTGCTCTTTTTTTGAGGTGAGTTTTTCCGTCTTGTCATTTTGTCCAGAGGAGAATAGATGAATGAGAGAACAAAATGCTAAAAGGGGTAAAAATGACCCCAGAAAAATATACACTAACCAAATGAGAAGAGACCCAAAACCGGGGGGAAAAGAAAGGGAAACAAACAAAAAATGAATATGATTAGGCTGATGAACATAACAGAGCCATACACTAGAGTCTGGATGTATTTTGGTCTGTTAGAAGAAATTGCCTCCCAAAATTTTTAAAAAAGAAAAACATATATATACAAAAATAAGGGTAAATATGATGAAGTGATGGAATATGACTGTAAAGATAAAAATTAAAAAAGATTTTTAAAAAGGAATTGATGTTGGTTGAAAAAGGAAAGAAGAAAAATTCAACTAAAAAAATAGAAAAAGAAAAAAATAAAGAAAATTTAAAAAATTATCTTTGAACGACTAAAGAATCATGGGAAAAAAGCCATGAATTCTATGTGCAGTATTCCCCTAGCGCTGGAGTTCTGCCGTTCTCATTGATAGGTTAACTTGGTCTTGGCTGGCTGTTCTTGCTGATCTTGGGGAGGGGCCTGTTGCCATGGTTTCCAAATGTCTTTGCCAGAGGCGGAATTGCCCCGCCCTTGCCGGTCTGGGCTAAGTAATCTGCTCGGGTTTGCTCTCGGGAGCTTTTGTTCCCTGCAAGCTTTCTGTACAGCTTTGGAGGACGAGAGTGAAAATGGGGGCCTCCCAATCTCCGCCCCAGAGGAGCCGAGAACTCGGGCCCCGCTCCTCAGTGAGCCCCCAGAGAAAAGCAGTCACTCCCATCTACCCGGTCTCTGGCCGCACTCCGTGCTCACCCGGCCTGTGACCAAGCGTTTCCATCTCTGGCTCATGACTTGGTGTGGAGTCTCCAAACCCAGCAGATCCCTGCGCTGCACTCCCGCGCCGCTCCTCCCCGGGGGAGGAAGGGGAGTCTCCCCGGATCTGCCGCTTGTTGGATCCCTGATGGAGGCACATTATATATAATTTAAAAACTTGAAGCTGGCTGGGGTGCCTGGGTGGCTCAGTCAGTTAAGTGTTAGACTCTTGATCTCAGCTCAGGTCATGATCTTTGGGTTGTGGGATCAAGCCCCATGTCGGGTTTCCTGCTTAGTTGCATCTGCTTCTCTCCCTCTCCCTCTTCCCCTCCCCCACTCAAATAAATAAATCTTAAAAAAAAAAGCTTTAGTTGGCTAACTAGAACTGTAACTTCCGGTTACTTTATACACAATAGTCGTTATAATTAGAGATTGTTTACTCTAGAAGCCTGGTTGTTGGATTATCTGTCTTCAGTTTTTGCCTTATTGACTAGTTTAGATGCCCACTACAGTTATTTTCTCTCTTTTCATCTTTGCATGTGTATGTTCACTTATAATAATTGTCCAACCCACAGTTTTCTTACATTTTTTTTAATAGCAGAGAGAATATTTGAAAGAGATGGTCTAGGGGCGCCTGGGTGGCTCAGCCAGTTAAGCATCCAACCCTTGGTTTCAGCTCAGGTCATGATCTCAGGGTTCTGGGATCGAGCCCCACCTTGGGCCCCCTGCTCAGCGGGGAATCTACTTGAGATTTCCTCTCCCTCCTCTGCCGCCACTCACAAGCATATGTGTGCACACTTGCTCTCTCTCTCATAAATTAATAAATCTTTAAAAAAAAAAAAACATGGTCTAGAGTTCTAACATTTTGTGATATTAAACATGGTATTTTGAATGCCACTGAATCTCATTTATGTAAAAGCTCAGTGACATTGTGTTGCTTGACGTCGTTTTTTCCTTTCCTAACAGTTTGTCTTTGTGATTGATCTCCTAGGTTCTAATGCCTTCCCGTCATCCTCCTCCAGCCAGAGTGGCATTCAGCCCAGCCTCCACAGAGAAGAGCCCACTTCCCACAGTCCCCGCGCAGAGCCCAGAGCATGGCGCCCCGACCCCTCCCACTAGCCTCGTCCCCGCTGAGCCCACCGCACCAGAGCAACCTGCGTCTCCGACCACTGCTCCCAGGACAGGTAACTGTGAGGACAGTACAGCTGGAGGAAAAGTACAAAACCATGCTGTCAAATAGACTAGTGGCAACGTTAAGGTTTACTCGTCCCCTCCAGGCGTATCTTCAAGCCTCTCTCCTGTGCTAGAAACGGTGCTTCACACCAGCAATGAAAACATGAACTTTGTCTGTTCCCTCAGTGATCTATAGGGCAGCCAATGCGAGGGACAGGTGAATAGCTGGTTTTCATATCCTATGGTAAGTGCTGTGACAGGAGCGATGGGAGACGCCCTGCCTGACCTTTCAGAAGGGCCAGGGAAGCCTTTCCAGAGGTGACGATACTGGGATAGAACAAGCCAGCTAAAATGGGGTTGGTGTGTTGTGCAAGTCAGGGCAGCGATGTGTAATAACAATAATGATAATTCTATTCAGTGAGTACTTACCAAGCACTGGGCACTGTGCTCAGCGTTTCCTACCCTGTGCAAGAGAATGAAAGTACAGGGGTGCTGTGACATTTTGGGAGAGCAGTCAGGAGGTCAGTCTGGCTGGAGCTGATCATGTGCTTGAGAGGGAAGGGCAAGGTATGAATCTGGAGTGGTAAGCAGGGCAAGATTTCAAAAGATCTGTAAGATCTGTAATCTGTGCTAAGGAATTTGTGCTTTATCGGGTAAGAATAGAGAATCTCTGAGTGATTTTAAGCAGGAATATGAAATGATGAGATTTGTCTTCAAGAAAATAATATGGAGTCGACTGGAGACAAGAAGATCCATTAGGACTAGAGGGAGTGGTTGCAAGGATGGAGAGAAGGAACCAGGCTGAAGGGCGCTGGAATCATTAGGATTTGATGAGTGGCTCACTGGCAGGATCTCAGGACTCTGAGATCGATGAGCATGTGAGACTAAAAGTTAGATGAGCAGTGGGCTGAAGATAAAGGATCAGGATTCGTCAGCAGAGAGGTGATAACGGAAGGCTGAGGGCACACATGGGACCTTCCAGGGAGGGCGGTGGGTGAGCTCGGGAGAGGCCTGAAGAGGAACTCTGGAGACGTCATTACATTAGGAGCTGGAAGACCAGAAGGAGCCTACAGAGCTGGCTGAGTGGTCTTGCCAGAGAGGCAGGATATCAGGAGGAGGGCATGGATTGAGGGAAGGAAAGAGAGACTTCCAAGTAGGAAGATGTCATGAAGGAGCCAGGGGTTGCAGAGATCATGGCAAACACTGAAGAGCTCCCATTAGATTTACTAAGAAAGGAGGTATTGGAGACCTTGTTTCCTAAGCCATTCTGTGGGGATAACCCTCTCTGTCTTGTTGATTTGCTTTGATCCTGAGCTTGAGTACAGAGAAGGGTAATAGGAGAAGAGAAGACATGTGGTGTTTTGGAAAGGAAACCAGCCTGGGCAGTTGGAGCCTTGGGTTCTAATAGGACCTATTGCATGGAGTTGTTAGAAGCTTAGATGAAGTGATCACTTTAAAGTCCTTGGAATGGAGCCTGGCACAGTGTAATCTGGTATGTGTGTCTGTTGAGATAAATACATTTAAATTAATTATTGGTGGCTCTCTTATTGCTAATTATTCGTATAACTGAGCAATTATTTGGCCTTTTAGGGCTCGGTTCCCTCATGTGTAAAATGATAAGTTGGTACCAGTGTTCCCTCTGGGTCCACAATTGCTGACTTTCAGGGCAAAGAGTCGTGGAAGTGATGGGAGAGAGGAGCCTGAGGCACCAGGGAGGCCCCTGCGCTGCGGCTGGTGCAGGAAGGCCCCGGCAGGACAGGACGCTGACCGGCAGGGGACAGGAGCGGGTTTGAGCCCCATGGCCCCCAGCATCTCGAAGGAGCTGGGACCTCTAAAGAGCACTCAGCTTAAAAAAAAGAAAAACAAAAGTTTGCTTTGCTCTGTGTGGTGTCTTGACATATCTCAATTGTATTGTACAAGTGAAACGAATGTCCAGTCGCGTCCAGCCAGTTGGATACGTCAGTGTTCTGCTGGTTATAGAGAAGGTGAATGAGTGGTTCTGAGTGCCGGGTTAGTGGGTAAGCGCTTTTGATGAGAGTGAACCTCCCCACTGCCTGAGTTAAAGTCGCCTTTTTATGGAGGTTGACGGGGTTTTCTCTTGGAAAGTTTCCAAGAGCAAGGCCATTAGCGATAATTCATGAGGCTATCAGAACTGAGCGGTATGTGACTAATGATACAGAAACACTTATGATTACACTCAATTTTTTAATAAAAATAGCACATACCAGGGAGTCAGGAAGTGCTAAGTCTGGTAGGAGAGAAGAGACTCAACCCATAGTACCCTTGTTACCCAACACTGTGCTCAGTCAATCCAAATCATATTTTCTTCACCTTGTCACCTCCCACGGATGACTTAAAATTTACGAAACCTGCCCTGCAGCATAATATAGGTCGTGGTGCAGTTACTAGTCAGAGGAAAGAAGCGTCTTAAATAAAATCAGAGGGAGAACTATTATAAAAGTATGTTATGTTATCTAAAAACAAATCTAGGGGCTCCTGGGTGGCTCAGTCGTTAAGCGTCTGCCGTCGGCTCAGGTCATGATCCCAGGGTCCTGGGATCGAGCCCCACGTCAGGCTCCCTGCTCTGTGGGGAGCCTGCTTCTCCCTCTCCCCCTGCCCCTCCTCTCTGTCTCTCCCTGTCTCTCAAGAATGAATAAATAAAATCTTAAAAAAATAAGCAAATAAACAACAAAGCTATCGTAGGGCAGTAACATAACATCATTATTGTTTATAAAGGACTGTACTATTTCCAATCAACTTGTAGTGAAAGCACTCACAGTGTCCGCCGGGGAGAATCTTGTAATGACTTTACCGGAGAACCAAGTGGAACTGAAGGCTTTTGTTGTGCGCGCGCCACCTGCAGGTGAGTGCTTGACTTCCCTTCGTGACACCAGAGGCCGGTGGGCTGGGTCTCTCTTCACCGGTCTTTACAGGTTACTCACCGCACTGCGAGAGGTCACAACTGAAGCCTGGAGAGTGCTGACGAGGCTTTGGTGGTCATAAGCATTCAACCTCACTGAGGTAGTTTAAAATCGAGGAGGAGTGTGGGAAACTGAATACAGGACATATCCTTCCATTGGTCGGGACGGAAAGTCACGCGTTGCTGAGGATGCAAAGCAAGGGATGTGTTAGAGCAGGAGAGGTGTCCCCGTCCCAGAGCCTTTGCTGTGGTGACCCACAGAGCCTGGGAAGATTGCACCGAGAGGAGACAGGGAGTGTGGCTGCAGCTCTGTTGACAGGTATTCTAGTATTGACAGCAGAGCTCTGAAGTGCTCAGGGTGCCTCACACCAGCTCCTCGAAACATGTTGCTCAAAATGCCCTTTCTTCTGCTCGAGCAACCTCTCCTCTTCCCCAAACATGGGTGCTCTCCCCCTGACCTGTCAGAGGTCTTCCTTCTTAGGGTACGTTCATTCCCACAGTGCTGAGTGGTTCTCATTCAGGTTGGTTCCGTCGTTCGTTCCCTCCCTACCACAGATGGGTTGACATCGAAGCAGAGATGATGATATTTGGCATTTGTCTGTAATGCTGGCGGCTGAGGCACTTCTCCCTTGAACTACTAGCATCTCACGGTGGGAGACAGCTTCATCTTTATACAGAAGGTTTCATCCATGTTTGTGTCCCTAAAGAAACCCCCACAACAGATGAAACCAATGGAAATCTTGCCTTTTATTAAAAGGAGAAGAAGTACAATGGATTATACTAGGTGGAAATGTATACATACATCCATAGTCACCCTGAAAGGAATGTCATCAGATGCTACATGGGAGATCAGGGAGGCGTTTTCTTTCTTTCATTTTCGACATGTCATGAGTTTTGCATAAGCTGTATGTTCTTCTAATAGAACGAAAATTAAAAGGGTAGGAAACCCTGCCATTCCTTACCTGCGTGAAGGTTGGCGGTGGAGTTCAGAGTCTCAGGTACCCCTCCTGCTGGAGTCAGGGCTGTCATCCTCTTGCCTCCGCCCAGATTGTGTACGGCGACCTTCCCAAGCTTATGACGACTCGCATTTCTGTTTTTGCTCCCAGAAACCACCTACAGCTACGAATGGAGTTTAATAAGCCACCCTGCCAACTACCGAGATGAAATAAAAGAAAGACACACGCAAACTCTTCATGTCTCTCACGTAAGTAACTGGAGGCCGCTTGTGTCTGATGGCCCGCCAGAGAATTCCGTTAACACGTCAGCTGTTGAACCCCGAAATCTGTTTTATGATGACGATCAGAGGAAGGTGATAAGTGAATGAACTTCCTACCATGTAGACAGACAGGCAGTTGGTGAAAGAAGGAGACTTTCAGATGGTTTTTCTTTATTTGAATGACTTGGCATTTCAGCTTGGAGAAAAGAGGCTGGTTGCCCAAGGGTCTCTGTGGTGAGGTTGCAAAGTCTATCCTCTAAGTCCCATCCTCTCTCTTTCTTTTTTTTTTATTTCAAAGATTTTATTTATTCATTCATGAGAGACAGAGAGAGAGAGGAGGGGGAGTGGGAGAGGGAGAAGCAGGCTTCCCGCCGAGCAGGGAGCCCGATGTGGGGCTCGATCCCAGGACCCTGGGATCCTGACCTGAGCCGAAGGCAGATGCTTAACGGCTGAGCTGCCCAGGCGCCCCGGCCCTGTTCTCTGTGCAGTGGCAGAGACATTCTGGCTCTGCTTCCCAGCAGAGCTGCCAGTAATCCCATTCCAGCTCCCAAATGCTTTGGCTCCAGGAGGTAGGCCCCTCACCAGGAGAAACACGCCCCGCTCCCAGACCATAAGGATCAATAAACTGACTGAGCTGCCCGGGGTCTGGTTTCCCGCCCCATGACTATCTCCTCTTGGTTCCTGAGACCGCGCAGCTGGGGGTGAGCGCGAGCTCCCCTCTCGCCTGTGTCCCTGAGCCTGCTTCTCCAAGTGTGGCGCCCAGACCACCGATGGCTGCCTCGCCCAGCAACTTAGTAAAACAGCGTGATTCCCATGCCCACGAGCTGCTGCCCTTGGCCATTCCGGTTCCGTGGGCACCTGTCCGGCCCGTGAGCGTCCGTAACCAGGCCGCGGGCCCTTCTGCGTGACCCTTGACCCCCGGGCAGTGTTGGCAGCACTCCCAAGGAGACGCTCCCCAGCCCCTGCACTCCGCTCACTTCAGGACCGCGGCTTCTGCGAGGTGTTAGCACTTTCTAGGCAGTGGACCCGTCATGTCTTTCGTGTGTTTACCTGTGTAACTTTTCTTTACGTTGCAGTTGTCAGCAGGACTTTATGCCTTCAAAGTAGCAGTTTCTGGTGAAAATGCCTTTGGAGAAGGATTTGTCAATGTCACGGTTAAGCCAGGTAAGCCTGTGTGAGAGAATGCGTGTATCTCCGTTTTAGGTGCCTGAATAACTTGCTAATCTATCTTTTTTATTTTTACGTTTGGCTCTACTCTAGAGAAAATATGCAATGATTCTCGTTTGTTCTTTTGTTTTCCTTTCTGAGGTCTGTGTAATTCTTAGTACTTGCTTAACGCTGCTATTTAAGGTTGCCCGGTTACCGCTGACCTGAGGGGGTGGCACATGGCTGCCCCTTGGCCATCTCTTTTGCTCTGGTCACTCCTCCACCTCCTTCCCCAGGACTCAGCCTCACCTTCTGTGGGGGGTGGGGAGGGGGTGCAAGTTTCAGATAGTCAGCTGAGCACCTGAGGGGTCAGGGGGATGTATGCACCAAGCGCTCAGGCCGCCAGCAACCCACAGGCCAGTGCACTCGTATGAATTAGAAACAGGGGGCCCTTTTTCCAGGTGGGCCCAGCCTGCACACCTGAGGCGGCCCACCTGTCTGCCGGCTCTTACCTCTCAGCTGTCCCTCAGGCTTTGCACATTCTGTCTGAGTGTTATTCCAGCCAGAGCGTGGTGCTGGGGGAGGAGAGGGTGCATGCACTCGAAGATTGAAGACCCAGGTCACGGCTCTAGGAGCTGGAACTGGACTCCACTGCTCCTTGCCTGCAGTTAGCGATCATGTTCTTTGATGAAGCCCTGGGTTATTATCACACATGTCCCCTGAGCCTGGGCTTATCTGCAGAAATGTAAATCTGCAGACAAGCTCCTAAAACTTAATAGGAAAGTTCCAAACTGTTCGGAATTACTCTCCACAGTTGAGCCTGTAGGGTAAATGCCTTTTTTTTTTTTTTAAAGATTTTATTTATTGGGGCGCCTGGGTGGCTCAGTCGGTTAAGCATCTGCCTTCAGCTCAGGTCATGATCCCAGGGTCCTGGGATCGAACCCTGCATTGGGCTCCCTGCTCCATGGAGAGCCTGCTTCTCCCTCTGCCTCTGCCCCTCCCCTCTGCGCATGCTCACTCTCTCTCTGACAAAATAAAATAAAATAGAAAAAAAAGATTTTATTTATTTATTTGAGAGAGAGAGTGAAAGCGAAAGAGAGAGAGCACGGGCAGGGGGAGGAGCAGAGGGAGAAGCAGATTCCCTACTGAGTGGGGAGCCCGATGCAGACTCGATCCTGGGACTCTGGGATCATGACCTGAACCTAAGACAGATGCTTAACCGACTGAGCCACCCAGGCGTCCCAGGATAAACACCTTCTTGACAGGATGTTTATAACCAACTTTTTAAAAGCAGATGATTTTATTGGGGTTATGATCTGTGCACATATAAGGGGCTCAGTGTCCCTTTCTCTGTCACACAGCCAGAAGAGTGAACCTGCCCCCCACAGCAGTGGTTTCTCCCCAGATGCAAGCCCTCACCCTGCCTTTGACGTCGGCCTTCCTCGATGGCAGCCGTGGGTACCTGTGACACGTCAGGGCCTCTCTGCCCTGCGCGGGGCAAGGTTGTGTGGTGCTGGGGGTGGAGGCTGGGAGGGCTCACGCACCAACGAGGACGCAGGAGCCTCTCTGTCATTGGGCATGTGGCTCATAGCCCTGGGGCCCCTTCATCACAGCTTTTGTGCCATGCTCACCTTGCAGTCAGTTATGTCCCACCTGTCCGTGAAGACTTCTTTAGAGCCTAACTGTTCAATTCGGAATTAAAGTGATTCTTAAGAGAATCTGCTTTTGATGAGGTATATGTGATGAGCAATTGGAAAATCACGTTCACAAATATGAGAAGGGTTGCCTTCATCTAGGGTGGGTAGTGTTTTGTTGATTCAATCGGAGTTCATTCCTTCTCTTATATGTGGAAGGGGCCCCTGACTCCAGGCCTCCGTGCAAGTGAGAGTAGATGAAAACATTCCCTACGTTTGGCAGTATATAAATATAGATAGAGATGTATGACAGCATATGACAAAATACATTCAATCTCAGTGTAACTGGTATTTGCATTTATGTACATTTCATCGCAAAGCTAATACCAGAGCTGGTGGAGTAAAGAATCGTTGCCTTGGTTGTTGGAAGAAGGGTAATTCTCAGCAGCTCATGTGGCTCCATTTTGCAAATCTGCAAATATACAGAAATCACACTGACCTCATCATCTGCGCCTATTCAAATATAAATATCCACATTTCCCCCCTTCCCAGCATGAAAACAAAGCATATTTTAGACGAAAATATTTACATGAGGAAATGTACCACATTTTGATTTCTCTAGTGCAGGACGGCTTAGGTACAGGAAAGTGGGATTATTAATCTGTCACTTGAACTAGTTGGTTCTTTCCCTGCATTAGATGCAGCGGGCTCCCTTCCAGGTCTAAGTCTCTGTGATTCTATGCAGCACATTGGTTTGCTCTCTTCTAAAGCAGAAAGGGGAAGTTTTCTTGTAGGATACTACCTTTCTCTGGATTTACACCTGAATGATGTGGGTAGTAAAGGCGTGTTGTATTTATATGTAAGCATCTCTTAGTTCTTTATCGGTCACTTCCAATATGTACAGAAAATATCAGGAAGGTATCACGTGCTGAAGTCGAGATGAGTAGAAGTAGCATTTCAATATGGTACATCTGCTTGACTCCCGTTCTTAAAAAAGCAAGAGTGCCTGTCACTGTGCTTTTTTAAATTCACAACTGAGGAAATTCAGGAGTAAAATAGTGATGATAGTTTAGGGAGAAGAAGAAATCCTCCTGCCAGCACATAAGACATGTCCATTGAAATCTATGTAATTCTGTAATTCCATGCAAAAACAAATTTAAGCATGAAGACGATAAATTACAAAATTTATGTTTTACTGTTGTTGCATTTCATTCTAGCCTTCACTTATTTTTAAATCTTTATTTGCGGAACATAAGGAATACCGTGGAGGATATTAGGAGAAGGAAGGGAAAAATGAAGGGGGGAAATCGGAGGGGGAGATGAACCATGAGAGACTATGGACTCCGAGAAACAAACTGACGGTTCTAGAGGGGAGGGGGTGGGGGGGATGGGTTAGCCCGGTGATGGGTATTAAGGAGGGCACGTACTGCATGGGGCACTGGGTGTTATATGAAAACAATGAATCATGGAACACTGCATCAAAAACTAATGATGTACTGTATGGTGACTAACATACTAAAATAGAATAAAATTTAAATAAGTAAATAAATCTTTCTAGAAAGTACGGATGACACTAAAATTGTGAGTTACCGCTGGGAAGAAATTAGCGGCCCGTTCCGAGAGGAGACTCCTGCAGATTCCCCCGTCCTACGTCTGTCTAACCTCGTTCCTGGAAACTACACTTTCAGGCAAGTGGTTTCTCCACCTTTGCTGTGCTTTCAGAACTTGTGTTGCGACTATTTGCTTAAACTCATGCCTCTACACTACACTGTGCCTCTTTTCATTTTGATCAAGAGGTCAAGGCCGATGAGGCTTCCTTGGGGGTTTTGGTTGGCAGCCGCTTTCGACTGATAGGCTCATGGCCGAGTATGAATTGGAAGTGCCTGGTTATTGGAAACATTCGGTTTTGGTTGTAAGGAACGGTATTCGGATGGCATCCTTTTGCTGTGTTGTTACATGAAAGAAATTTTGTATCTTCAGAGTGAGGCAGAGTTGTGTGATTTATCTGTTTCTTAATCTTTTTCTTTCCATAACTTTTAAAGATATAACTGAGATATAATAAACTGTGCATAATTAAGATATAACACTTGATGAGTTTTGACATGTGACTGTCCGGAAGGCCATCATCACAATCAAGATAATAAACATGTCCCTCAACCTGGAGGTCTCCTCATGCCCCTTGGATTTCCATTTGTCTCTCCACTCCTGTCCTTGGGCAACACGGAGCTGCCTTCTGTCAGTTTAAATTATTTTGTACTGTCTAGAATTTCACATCAATGGAATCATACAATATGTACTCCTTTTTACCTGTGTTTTCTTTCACTCTGCAAATGATGTTGATTCATCCATATTGTCTGTACCAATAGGTTGTTCTTTTTGTTGCTGAGTACTCTTCTGGTCTGTGGATGTACCACAGTTTATTTATCCTTCCATCTAGTATGGACATCTGGGCTGTTTACAGCTTTGAACTACTACAAATAAAGGTGCCATTAAAATTTACTTTAAGTGTTTGTGTGGACAGGTATTTTTATTTTTATGGGGTAAATCGTGGAATAGTGGAAAGGTCAGGTTCTATGGTGAGTTTATGGTTAACATTTTAAGAAATTGCCAAACTCTTTCCTGAGGTGGGTGTTCAATCTCCACATACTCACCAATACTTGGTATAGTCAGTCTTTTTAATTTTATTTAATTTAATGAATGGTAGTATCTCCTTATGGTTTTAATTTGCATTTTCGTGATGACCAATGATATTAAGCATATTTTCAGGTGCTTATTGGCCATTCATATAACTTCTTCTGTGAAGTATCCTTTTCCTATTTTATTTTTTTTTAATGTCCCCTTTATTTTTTTAAGTAAACTGCCCCAACAAGGGGTCTCGAACTCATGACCCTAAGACCAAGAGTCGCATGTCCTACCAACTGAGCCAGCCAGGTGCCCTTCCTTTCCTTATTTAAAAAATTATATTGTTTGTCTTATTTAGTTTTAAGAGTCTTTATACATTCTTTTTTTAAGATTTTTATTTATTTATTTGACAGAGCACAAGCAGGGGGAAGGGCAGAGGGAGAGGGAGAAGCAGGCTTCCCACGGAGCAGGGAGCCCAACGCTGGGCTCGATCCCAGGACCCTGGGATCATGACCTGAGCCAAAGGCAGATGCCCAACTGACTGAGCCACCCAGGTGCCCCAAGTCTTTATACATTCTGAAACAAGCTCACTATTTTATATATGTGTTGTGGATATTTTCTGCCAGTATATGATTTTTTTCTTAATCTTTCAATAGCTTCTCAACCTTTTGGCTAAGATCAAGTGTATTTTCTTAATCTTTGGAAGAGCAAAAATTCTATGTTTTGATGAAGTCTAATTCATCAATTTTTTTTCTTTTGTTTCATGCTTTTTGTGTTCTAATTAAGTAAGCTTTGCCTATCCTAAGACTGTAAAGATTTCCTGTTTTTTCTAGTACCTCTGTAGTTCTAGATTTTATATTTAGATCTATGATCTCTTTTGAGTTATTTTTATGTATTGTGTGGTATTTTTGAATGTTAAATCAACCTTGCATTCATGGGGTAAATGCTATTTGGTCATGATATCCTTTTTATATAGCACTGTATTAAACTTGCTAATATTTTGGTAAGGGTTTTTTGTCTATCTTCATGAGAGATATTGGTCAATGCCATTCTCTCTTTTTTTTTTGCAATGTCTTAGTCAAGTTTGGGTATGAGGATCACACTGGCCTGATGAAACAAGGTGGCCAGTGATCTGTCCTCCTCTACTTGCTGAAACATTTGTGAACAACTGGTGGTGTTTCTTCCTTGAATGTTTGACAGAATTCATCAGTAAAATCACTGGGCCTGGAGTTTTCTTTTTGGGAAAGTTTTTGATAGCAAATGCAATTTTTAAAATAGTTGTAAGGCTATTTAGATTTTCTGTTGCTGGTTTTTTTTTCCTTGCATAGGTTTTTAATAAGTTGTATTTTGCAAGAAGTTTGTCTATTCCATCTAAATTGTCAAATTTGTTGGCGCAAAGGGTTTTATAGTGTTTTCATATTATCCTTTCATACCCATAGAATCTGTGGTGATAACTCCTTTTTCATTTACTCTATTGATGACTTGTGTTCTCTTTTTTTTCTGATCAGTCTAATTAAGGATTTTAATTTTGTTTATCTTTTCAAAGAACCCCTACCTAGAGCTGTCTTAATTTTTTCTATTTTCTAATTTGTTGGTTTCTGCTCATATCTTTACTATTTCTTTACTTCTATTTACTTTTTATTTACTTTGCTCTTTTAAATTCTTAGAGTAGAATCTTGGATCATTCATATTAAATCTTCCTTAAATGTCTATAAAGCCTTTAAAACTATAATTTTCCTCTAAGTACTCTTTAATTGTATACCACATATTTTGGTTTATTATATTTTTAAGGTCTTTAAGAATTTAGTGATTTCAAAGAAATCCATCTATCCATGCATCCATATATTTATGAATCTTCTGAAGTCTGACTAGGTTAAGAAATTCCCAGGCATCTGATTGGATTCGTCTTTGACTAAAAAGTTCACAGAGGTGCTCTAGAGTATTTTACATTGTACATGTGTTGTGAAAATGTTTGTTTTGGTTTATTTGAAATCTCAGCTTAAGAAGTAGCTTACCCCATTAGGTTGGCTTATTATTTAAAAAATGGAAAATAAGTGTTGGTGAGGATATGGTGAAATGGGAACTCTTGGGCACTGCTGGTGGGAAAGTAAAATGGGGCACCTGCGTGGAGAATAGTTTGTTAGTTCCTCAAAACATTAAGCATAGAATTACCATGTCTGTAATCTTGCTTCTAGATATATACCCCAAAGAATTGACAGCAGGGACTCAAACAGATACTTGTACACTCATAGTGTATATGTTCATGCCACTTTATAAGGTTCTTTTGATTCTTTTTTTATTTCAAGTTTTTATTTAAATTCTAGTTAGCTAACATATAATGTAATACTGGTTTCAGGAGTAGAATTCAGTGACTCATCAGTCTCATATAACACCCAGTGCTCATTACATCACATGCCCTCCTTAATGCCCATCACCCAGTTACTCCAACCCCCCACCCCCCCTCCCCTCCAGCAACCTTCAGCTTGTTCTCTGTAGTTGAGAGTCTCTCATGGTTTGCCTCCCTCTCTTTTCATTTCTTTTCTTCCTTCCCCTATGCTCATCTGTTTTGTTTCTTAAATTCCACATATGAGTGAAATCATATGATTTTGTCTTTGTATGACTTATTTCACTTAGCATTGTACTTTCTAGCTCCATCCATGTCATTGCAAGTGGCAAGAATTCATCCTTTTTGATGGCTGAGTAATATTCCATTGTATATATACCACATCTGCTTTATCCATTCAGCCAATGGACATTTGGGTTGCTTCCATAATTTGGCTATTGTTGATAATATTGCTATGAACCACGGGGTGCATGTGCCTCTTTGAATTAGTATTTTTGTATCCTTTGGGTAAATACCTAGTAGTGTACTTGCTGGATGATAGTGTTGTCCTATTTTTAACTTTTTGAGGAAATCTCCTACTGTTTTCCAGGGTGGCTGTACCAATTTGCATTCCCACCAACAGTGTAGGAGGGTTCCCCTTTCTCCACATCCTCACCAACATCTGTTGTTTCCTGAGTTGTTCATTTTAGCCATTCTGACTGATGTGAGGTGGTATCTCATTGAGGTTTTGATTTGGATTTCCCTGATGAAGAGTGATGTTGAGCATCTTTTCATGTGTCTGTTGTCCATTTGTATGTCTTCTTTGGAGAAATATCCATTCATGTCTTCTGCCCGTTTCTTAACTGGTTTATTTATTTGTTTTTTGGTGTTGACTTTGATAAGTTCTTTATAGGTTTTGGATACTAGCCCTTTATCTGATATGTCATTTGCAAATATCTTCTCTCATTCTGTAGGTTGCCTTTTAGTCTTGTTGATTGTTTCCTTTGCTGTGCAGAAGCTTTTTATCTTGATGAAATCCCAGTAGTTCATTTTTGCCTTTGTTTCCCTTGCCTCCGGAGACGTGTCTAGGGACAAGTTGCTCTGGCCGAGGTCACAGAGGTCACAGGTGTTCTCCTCTAGAATTTTTTTTTTTAAAGATTTTATTTATTTATTTGACAGAGAGAGAAACAGCAAGAGAAGGAACACAAGCACAGGGAGTGGGGGAGGGAGAAGCAGGTTTCCCGCCAAGCAGGGAGCCCAATGCGGGGCTCAATCCCAGGGCCCTGGGATCATGACCTGAGCTGAAGGCAGATGCTTAATGACTGAGCTACCCAGGCGCCCCTCTCCTCTAGGATTTTGATGGATTCCTGTCTCACATTTAGGTCTTTCATCCATTTTGAGTTTATTTTTGTGCATGGTGTAAGAAAGCAGTCCAGTTTCATTCTTCTGCAAGTGGCTGTCCAATTTTCCCAACACCCGTTTTTGAAGAGACTATCTTTTTTCCATTGGATATTCTTTCCTGCTTTGTTGAAGATTAGTGGATCATAGAGTTGAGGGTCCATTTCTGGGTTCTATATTCTGTTCCATTGATCTTTTTTTGTGTGTGTCAGTACGATACTGTTTTGATGATGACAGCTTTGTAATAGAGCTGGAAGTCCGGAATTGTGATGCCACCAGCTTTGCTTTTCTTTCTCAAGATTGCTTTGACTATTCGGGGTGTCTTGTGGTTCCCATACAAGTTTT